ATTTGACCTGATCTATGGAAGCGTATAAACACACACACACACACAGCATAGAATATGCAACATTCACAACAGATTATCTGATATTAAAACTTCTCTGTCATACAATGTTTTCAAAAGTGCGCTTTTCCTGGACCCAAAAGTGACACATTATTATAAATGCCTTGAGAAAAAAGGAAACAATCACAGAATCGTTCTGTGGATTTTCGCGGCTTTTCCAAGACGTCCGCGCCGAAAGCGCCATCTATTTCCGTTGTGTCGAGAAGTTAATGTGTTGTGTTGCGATTTTCTTTGGTGTTGTGTCGAAAAGTTAAATGTGTCGTGTTGAAATTGTGTTGTGTGTTGAGTGATTTTGTTGTGTGTTGTGGCACTTATACGCTTCCATACTGATCCTTTTTTATTACACTCACACTCAGCACACGGTTTTTGTTGTGTACAAAGACCGTACGTGGTTCCAATATTTAATTGTCCCACCACAATAGTGGCGTATTCAATACAGTCTGCATATGACGGCTCTGTCCCCCAGTCAGTAGCTTGAAAATGGTTCGTGAGCATGACAAGGAATATATCACTGATTGCGTTATATATTTTCACGTGTACAAATCACCCTTTCACTCTGACTCACAGGTACAGGTAGCAGTGGTGGATTTAGAGGGGGGGGGGGTCAGGGGGTTCCTGACCACTCTTCGGTTTCTAAAAAATATATCACACCAATATTCCCCTCTTGAAATTAGACTTGCTGAATCATAGTTCTAGCGAGTAGAACAGGTCTCGGCCGTGCTGTACGAGGAAGCACGTCATGTACGAGTGCGTTCCACGGTCTGTTGCACTACAAGTGTAGCCAATCAGAGGCCGTGGTTTAAGCCAGATACAACAGTCGTCGCCGAGCTGTACGTGAAAATTAATCGACAATACACTTGTAATATTTAGTGTGTGTGTGTGTGTGTGTGTGTGTGTGTGTGTGTGCGTGCGTGTGTATGTGTGTGTGTTGTTATACATTTTTGAAATAGATTTTAAAAAAATGTTACGTTATCATGTTTACAGTATCTACGTTAACATTCATTATAGGTGTCTAATCGATAACTTGTTTTTTTCAGCTCCCACTCTGTCCTCAGTCACCTGAACATTTAGGTGAGTCTACCGGAACGATCACATTGTACATGTTTATACTGTGTATATCACTGTACTGATATCACTGTATGTTAGCTGTTCAGTGTAAAAGTGCTCACGTGTTAATATCCATATCCATATCCATATCCATGTTCATCATCTGTTGATTTACAGACAATCTAGACCGCGAAATACAGTCATCACTAGGCGCGCACTTTCCGGGAAAAAATAAAAATCAATACGACTTTTTATATTCAGACTTACTTGGGTGGCTTATGACACTGACCTACAGGTAATACCAAAGTTATTCAGTGAATTTTGAATAGATAATTTTGCATTTTTTTCACTAATTGTCATTTTCAAGTTATGTCTTTGAATCCCCATGGGAATGAAGTCCTGTGGCAGTTATATCTTCAGAATGTCCCTATTACCTTTAGTATAATTTAAAATTGTGTGGTGATTGGTGCTGTTAAGCATAATGTAATATAAAATATATTTGCAAAACATGGATTCTGAAATGTATTTACAAAACCCCTATTTTGTGCAATGTCATCGTTAATATAATCAATGAAAAACTGTGTGTTTTATAAACCTCTAAGTAATGATTCAAAGCACCGAAATACAGGCCAAGTTTGGATAGCCGCTTTATTGGACTATTTTTCTTCAACGTGTTATTGGACTAGTTTTCTTCAAGGTGCGCATCGTTATTTTCTGCAATTCATCCCTCATTTGACAGCTTTACTGCCTTCTATAATATTGCATCAATATTAGCAAACCCCCATTTTGTGCATCATCAGTAATAATTTCTCCTTTATGGCTGCACAATAATTGACAGCTTTGCTTCCTGGTTAAATGCTGCTAGACACGTGTTCATCACATCGTGTGTGTTGAATACATTCACCGTTTATATCCTAAGATTCTCATTTTCCAATCGATTGCAAACTGCGGCTTGCTGCCTTATAAGTAAAACCGCATTCTGTAACCGCAGACAAAGTACGACGTGAATACTCATTTTCTGGTAATTTTTCTATATTTATCTTTGACCAACGACAAACAAGGGCAACCATATTATTTTGGTGATTTGCAACAATAGAAAATATTTTTAGGTACCCCAGTATGTGTGTTACTACATGTACTGGTATGTGTTAACTTATTTCTTTTATATATGCTACCTTATAAGCAATTTTAAGAGTGAATACTGAACGGTAGGGCCTACATGTACTTCTGTATTTACTGTAAACATTATTTTGAATTAAAAAAATGCACAAAACATTTGGTGAAATATTTCTTTTATTTTATCCTTTATTCATTTATGTTTATTCCAGTTGGTCCATTGGCGGTTAAAACTAATGTTGTTAGCATGTCAAAAGCCGCTGGTGAAAATTTTAATCTGGATCCCGGAGGACATTGGAGCCCTCGTGACTGTGCGGCGAGATCTCGCGTGATCATAATCATTCCTTATCGGGACCGATTGGCTCATCTCACCCGGTGGTTACATCACTATCATCCCATATTTCAAAGGCAGCTTCTAGAGTACAGGATCGTTGTAACGGAGCAGGTGAGAGATGCCCACGTCATCAGATGTGTTAAATGTCATCAAATCCCGCCTTGTAAGATTATCCTCGTCTTTTCGACCATGTTGACGTCAGTGTGCAATGAAGTTGCTAAGAAAAATATGTCCAAAAAAAGTAAAAATGCACTGTTTAATGAGTACACGGGGGGGGGGGGTAGTGATGTATGTTTTCAGAAAGGGTGAAAATGGCAAAACTTCATGTTTCTTCATACGCCCTTCCCCTTTAAAAGTCTCATTGATTTGTCATTGATTTTTACATTCATCCTTTCAACCCTTTAAAAAATGCTTGATGTTGTTATTTTTATCTACAGTACGGGACAGGAACCTTTAACAAAGGTAGAATAATGAATGCAGCATTTCTAGAATGTAGAAAGGCTTTCCAGTTTGACTGCGTTATCTTCCACGACGTTGACATGTTATTGGAGAACGACCGAAATATGTACGTGTGTGGAAACGACACCACACCTAAGCACCTCTCCCCTGCTGTGGACAAGTTTCGCTATAAGTATGTTCAAGATATGCATTTAACGTCGTCTTTTATAGCAGTAGTGAATCTCAACTAGCACAATCATGCGTCAATAACACCACAACGAGGCATCTTAACTAACATAATCGCTTAACTTGTTCATGTGAATCATAATGATAAAATTTAAAACAGTTCAATTTGCTGAAAGTGTACCCAAGGAATATATCTGTTGTAACTCCTTGGTGTATCTAAGAGCATTCGTCCCAACACTTGGGACTTCATCAGTTTCACTGAAGTTACATGTATGTAACAGTGTACATTTAAAGTGAACAGTTTAATGAGAAACACTGTCACAGATGTGAGGCAGGTTGTCTCCCCACGTCCTTGTTTAGTTTGGGACAATATAGATCTTGGACCTTGACCCCCTGTGATTCAGCCGAGGGGTGAAGGAAGCCATTTACATTCGGACCCAGAGACCTTCACGGCTTTTTTTGTTTAAATTTTAGGATAGTCTTTGACAATCTCGTTGGTGGAGTTTTAGTAATGACAGTTTCACTTTTCGAAGAAGTCAACGGGTACAGCAACGAGTACTGGGGCTGGGGAGGCGAAGATGACGACATGTGGGAACGGTAAGTGTTGTCGGAAATGAAGATAACAACGTGTGAAGGGTAAGTGTTGTCGGGAATGAAGATGACGACATGTGGAAACGGTACATGTAAGTGCTGTTGGAAGTGGAGATGGCCAAACGCGGAAACGGAAATGTCGTGAAAAATAAAACTTGACTACGTGGAGACAATAGTGTTTTCGAAAGTAATTTATGTAATATGCAAATATTCTGATTTTTTTATCCGTGAATTTGAGCTCTGTTGAAACATATTTACCGGTGACGTCGGTAATTTTGACCGATAACATCCTAAAAAGGGACGATTTTAATTAATTATACGACAATGCCGAGTGACGGAATCTTTTTCTGTTATCTTAGGGACCGTTCACATGCAAAATCTATTTTCTAAAAATCTATTTTCTATTCGCGGTATCTTGTGAGCATGGTCTGTGCCCTGAATACCCCTCGGCGTAATTACTAGCAGCGCGAGCCAGTTACTTCCAGAGCTGTAATTAATTCTCGGCTGCGCTCGGAGTGATCACAAGATACCGCGAATAGAAGATAGATTTTTAGAAAATAGATTTTTCATGTGAACGGAGTCTTAAAGCAGATTAATGTTTAAGTATAAAATCTTATTAAGAGAACAATTATAGATGTCGATTTTGGTCAACATGTTGTTCTGCAGACGTCTGGAAAGTGAGAAAGACCTTGGTTGCGCTGCGGTCGATTTCGCTTTTTTGAAATGTGCAAAACAGCATCCCGACCTCAGCCAAAGTCAATGATGGTATGATGCCACTTTGCTGCAGGTTTCTTGAGGTCAATGCCACTGTGGTACGGCCGCCACTAGCCATCGGGAGGTATAAGATGATAAAACACAAAAGTCGTGGAAAAGAAGCCAATTACACCATAATGTAAGTGTGTTAGATGTCACAGTGTGTTAGGTGTGACATTGCATTAGATGTGACAGCGGTCCTCTCTAGATAGTAACCACGTCACAGTTGTAACCAATGGCAACAACAATGTGCTCCTTAACTGGAGAATCGTTTTTACAAGACCAAAACCTATTCCAGTTTGTCCTGTTACCTGTCTGTTCTACCTGTCCCTCCTTCCTTCGCGCCATTTTATAAAATCGGTAAATTTATTTGTTTTTTATTCTTATCTTTATTTTCTAATCAATTTTATTTTATTTTTCTATTGGATTGCAGAGATCCTCTACTAAAAACAAGCAGATCACGAATGCATCATGATGGACTTAGTAATTCCTCATATAGAATAGTCTACAAGTCATCCAAGCCTTTGTATACACATTTTATATTTGACATCAACACCGATAAGTCTTGACACGGCCATCTTGATTCTGTCACCGATTTTATAAGCGAGATATTCCATCATCTCGTTACCTATGATTGAATAAAAGGAATAAATTTATACGAAATATCATTTGATGTCGATGATTTAATTTTATTATCTAATTATAAATTATGATATTGATTATAGGTTTTAATTCTAATTTATATTGTTTTAACATTAATTTGATGAAGCTCTTTGAATTGCTCTCATCAAATACAAAATCCTTAGTACTGCCGCGGGAGTGGTTTGCCCAAAAAAAACAAAGCATAAAAAATATACTCCAATAGTTATTTAAATGTTATTCCGACGGGCAGTAATCAATCAGCTTGTAAAACCTCTTATCCAACGAAAATATTCCCACTGAAATTCCTGCAAAATTATTCAAGTTCTGTTCTGTATCGAACCGTACCAACAGGTCGCATCCAAATGTGCCAAACCTGTCACACCAACCACACTTCCGTCCACCATCAGCACAAGCACAAAACAAACGCATTTTTTACTGAGATGGTATATATTTCTTGTCTGAAATACATAAACTTAACAATGTTGAAAACAATGCAACAAGCATCTTTTTGTCTCACCCTCCCAAAGTATGTGTACAATACCGCACTTCACATACATTCAAATATACAGTATTTACAATTTATACACAAAGTCTCCAATAAGTAGCAAACATATATTTAAAACAAAGAGAATGACTGATGTTACTTTGAAAGTATATCTTTGAATACATATTTGTATTCTTCGTTGAAGATTTTAAAATATATACAGTGTAATCTTCTAATCGACCCCAGCGCCATCGGCCGTGGCATTTATATCACGAATGCTTGGTGGAAGATGACGAGAAATATACTATTTATTAATTATTAGAGAAAACTGCAACCAAGCACTCAAGTAAAATTGAACTCCTCCAAGCATAACAAAAATATAATTTAGCCATATAATACATAATATATACATATTCAATTAAGCAATCGGGGACAATTATTCAGTTTCCGGTTTTCTTTAAACTTAATTAATCACGTGAAACAGAGCACAAAAACTTCAAACTTTTGGAAGAAAACTGAAGCAAAGCAGCGCTAATGTTTACAGTTACATGGAATTCCAAATTGTAATGGAAGACATATCTTGTAAAACATGTATCTTGTAAAATAACTAAGCTTTTCGTAGCACTGGAATTTCTACATCAACAGTAAAATTATTTTCTCATTTAAATTAATTTCCGTCAAAACAAATATTAAGTGTAGGCCTACTCTAGGTATACATTAGACGGAAAGATGTGTACATCTATTTTCACTTTATGGCGACCAGTCATGTCCAGGGGCGGATTAAGGGCGTCTTCTGGTTCTTCCTGAAGACGGTCAGATTTTCAAATTAACATTGACGGGTAGGGGCCTATCTATTTTTTCTGTCGGAAGACGGTCAAAAATGGTGGATGGATCAACAAAGATAATTTTGAAGACTGTCAGAAAATATCTCTGAATCCGCCCCTGCATGTCTGACTATCTAGTTTATTGTCTTTCCCATCAACTTAATTCTGCTGAATAACTTTACATAAATGTTGTTGGCTGAAATAAAACAAGATAAAGGATGTCGCTCTAAACTCACTTCGCCGCCATTTTCCTGTCGTTCCATGTGATACAAAATGACACATTTCCTCGATAGCCAGTACAAACAGTCTACGTGTCAAGGTTTGTTTGGAATGAATAAATTAATGGCCAATAAAACCGTGCGTGTACATTGATAGTGTAATGCGAGGTTGATCATTTAACTTCACTTACATTTTGCAGTAGACATATCGCAAAATAACTTGTATAATGCCAAGCCTGCTATAAGAATGATTGGTATAACGCAATTATGTTCACTAAGCAAAATCACCTTGGATATTTTGGTCTTTGGTGTGGATAACAATAAATTCAACAAATAGTCGCACGGAGGCTCTGCTCTATAAATTCACAAACAATGCTCCAAAAGCAGCCAGTAGAATGATGACTGGTAACTGAATTATTAGTCCTGAACTTCCACTTCGTGAGGCGCGTGGATTTATGCACGTATCCTTGGTAACGCTAACATCCGGGCACTGGGCTATACGGGGCGTGGCTAGTCGCGCGTTGTTACGTTTACGCCTGACGTTTGAGACGGAAGCGTCTAAAGGCACCACATTCACCATGCCGCACACGTTGGCTACTAGACCGAGTCTGTCCTTGGTAGCGTTAAAAACGTTCCTTTCCTCACTCAGATAGGTCTGTTTGTCCTCCCCCTCGCTCGGTACCATGTCTCCGCCTCCTATTTTTTCTAGCATTTTCAAAGATGCGAAATATTTGTGAGCGACGATGAATTCTCCGTGGAGGTTCAGATGCGTGAACGGACATTTAGATTCTAATGTGACATTAACCGGAAGTTCCGGGGCACGCTCATTGGTTCTGAAGACGCATATGATCTGCATTTTGACAAAGTATTTTATAGTTGTCCCGCCAGTTTTCCCGTCATTTGTTATAAGAGCGGACGGCAGTTTGTAAAGGTCCAGAACTTTTCCATGGAACACTGTTGCTGCGTCATAAACTGCCTCTTCAAAGATGACGTCTCCGGTTTCCGCGAAAACGCACGTGTCGATAGTGTTGGCGAAAGCACTGCGTAGAAACAGGAAAAGATGCGCCAGTGCGCATGCGGCGTTATGCGGCCGCATGATGTAAGCTCTGTCGTAGATTTATACGACGTCGATTCTGTGAATTAGTTGTATTTTTGTCTAATCCTATGCAGTTTTCTAGTTGCTCCTTCAAAGTTAATCTGAAATTGTAAAAAATGATATTTAGGCATATTTACATCAAAATAATAAAATGATCAGTGTTTCATGGTACACAATGCAGTACCACGTGTGGCAACAGCTTCATCAAAATAAATGAATACTTAGGTTATAAACTCATTACAAGTTTGTACCACCGTCGCTGAAAGTGCAGGTGAACTTCAAAACATTCTACAATAACGTTCTTCACTGAACCTAAAGAACCAAACTCTTACGCAGTATATATCGCTACATACTGCCTTAATCTGTAACTTCGCCCATACAATTATATAGATACAACTGCATCACCAAAGACTTCAAAACTACGTCCGAAATTCTAACAAGGTAGAGGAGACCTCGAGCGACGTGCCAGCTGTGGTGACGGTGCACACTAAATGTCGTCTCTCGTGTTTGTATCTCGGTTTATAACAGACTTTTACAGACTGAAACTCGAGTATGAAAGTTCACTTGTAGGTCGTTTCAATTCACAGTCATTGTCACCTCTGTATGTGTGACAGAGTAGAGGGAAGAGAAGCGGAACTAAGGGTCCTTGTTGACGACGACAGAAACGTCATCTACTCTCCATGTGGCCTTCGTAGCAAGTTGTCAAGTGAGGCGCTCTGTTGGGGTTTGACAGCGCGTAATTGTCACCGAAATTAAGGATCAAATTACCGACCGATTCAAAATAAGGCACAGCTTCATACAACTCCCTAAAAATAAGCTACAGCAGTTTCTTCCGTTGACAGGTAGGGTGTAATTTAGCGCTAAAACACAGGGTCGCCGAAATGATGGTTGTCAAACGTTTTTTACTGGCGTGCTAATTCTCAACATAAAAAAACATAAGGACCCCAAGGCAATTAAACCATCGAAACCTCTGGTACAACGGTAAATGAGCGTACGTGGTGACACCGACTTAAAAAAAACTTGGATCTTGGTTTAAATCGTAGACAGGCCTATACGGTGTGGTCAAGGCCTGTGGGCAATCGGACTCCCATCTTGGTCCTCTTGGACTCCCATCTTGGAATTGGATTACCGGTTTCCTCTGACAACCACTATTGCGGACAATTAGGTGTCACTTGGTGGGACTCCTCGCTACGTTGATTGGCATGGACTGCAATTGAGTTTGAGGGACCGTCGCCTTCCCACGGAGCATTGTGAGGTTACAGTGGAGAATCAGGATTCAAATATCTGCTGCCACTGTTTACCGGACAGTGGAGGAAGCGGGTCTGATCGCTTGGTGCTTTTGAACTTGTGTTTTACACAGAGATGTATCCCATTTTGATTTCAGGCCCCTAAATTGCCAGAGAGAGAGGGAGAGAGAGAGAGTTTGTGTATGTTTGTGTGAGTGTGTGCAAGTGTGTGTGTGTTTGTGTGTGTGTGTGATTTTTTTATTATTTATTTATCTCTGTACATTTTCCCAGGGCAGTCTGGTGTAAAAGTCTGTAATACGATCATTCATACACTTGTAACACTTCGCAGAAAAGGAAATTCACAATTATAAATGATGAATAAATATTAGCAAAGGTCTAGTTGTACATATGTAGCCTAGTTAAGCATAGCAGGTAACTGCCAACATGCCATTTTCATTTTTAGAGAAATAAATGAAACGTGATAATACCAATTGGCATTTGAGTTCAAATTTCGGGCAGATGGAGCCTCTTTTTAGAACTCTTAAATGACAAGACACCTTCCATTTGTATACCCTGCAGGCAAACTAACGAAGGAGATTTTTTACTAAAAACTGTTAAAAAGCTTCCCCTAAAGATAAAAACCTCAGACAACAATGCTTACAAACGAGATATAGCATTGCCCTTGGGACCTTATGTTCCTAGCTCATTTTATGACAATGGTCGCAGCGCTATGCTGCATGATTTTATAGCCGCCTATTTGTGACATTGGAAATTTATGTCCTTTTGATCACCTTCTTCCGGTTGGTACTAAAATAGAGAAGAGTGCTGTTTAATTTTCCGTAATTTGCAATCCTATACGACACTGCCGTGTCCTCTTCCCTCAATATCGCACTCATTTCGGGTGAAAGGGCCACAATCTGGATGACGTCATAATCCGCCGAAATTTAGTTTTGCTTGTTATCTTTACATACCTGGGCATGAAACAAAAATACACCAAAAAGTATAAAGGGTAGAGCAGTGTCAGGAGGTAAAGATCGTGGGGCATCTGGTAAGATTGCGGGGGGTAAAGTAAAATCGCTGGGGGTAGGGGTGAGATCGCGGGAGGTACGTATGTGTACAAAGACATCACTGATAAATAAGCGAGTGTACACATAAACAGCGTATCTTGCAGATATCTGTATATATGTTGCAGCAGCGCTTTCGTGAAGTATTCATTCTTAGAACTTTCCCCTATGGTTTCGAAGTAGCGCACACTAGACCAAAACCCGGTCTTATTTTCATCAATGTCTGAACGCTCTTTAAAAATACCAAAATGTAGAAAGCAATTAATTGGTGTGAAGTGCCGAGCTGGTATTTCCCAAACAGTAGCAGGAGTTTTTTTTCTTTGTCTAGCGTTCCCATTAACCGCTGTGAAAGCTCGCGTAACAGACCTCAGGGCGAATTCAACGGCTCACTGTTGACTCCAAGACGTGCTGTAATCCTTATACCCCAGATCTCTCTAACAATACGGTGTCGAGTTCTCCTCGTGGTGATCTGAACGTTATTTCTGGCCAGTTTTATGAAGAAAACGCGCTCCGCTTGTATCAGCTTCGCGACCCCTCAATCCCTTAATTAGGATACTCAATCATTCCCAGCTAATGTCTAAGACGTGAAATACTGCGACCTTATAACACTAACCCCGTCTGCCTGTGGGAGATACTCCTCCATAAAGAATGCCTTTCTTTCACCGAGATAAGATTAATACCGTGCGTGGTAGACAGAAACATAAATAAAAGCTGCCCTACGGATACTGGGGCCGAGATGTTAGGTTGGCTCTGCTTACGGTCCGTCCTTGGCATGGTGTGGCACGGACATGTACAACACCTACGCTAACGTTTACACTACGTGCGCCTATATTTATATATGTCCTTGGCTGATGGAAGAGGAGGTTGAATGAAATGCTCTCTCTTTCTCTCTCTCTCTCTCTCTCTCTCTCTCACACACACACACACACACACACACACGCACACACACACACGCACTGTACACACACCCACACACATACAAACACAAGCACGCATACACACAAACAACAACAACAAAATATTGCGGAGCATCAAACAATCTTATGTAAAAATATTCAAAAGAAAAGTAGTACATAAAACTCACCAAAACCTGCGCGAATGCCGGAGTATGGGGTAATCAAGATGAAAATTGTAACGAGCCAAGACAAACCAACATTAAACACCACAAATCAAGAGTTTTTTCCAAGGCAAAACAGTTCTTAGAGTCGGACCGATATCGCTGACGCTGTAGTAGTAAGCAAACTTCACAAGGACGGCGTGAGACTGTTGCGGCTATTCTTGAGTGTGTGCCTCAAATGCCGGCCAATTTTTCCGTTAGATCACTAAATCTATCCTCCCCAACAGAAAACGAGGTGTCCTATACACACATCTGCTGTGTTAATATTAAATTTATGTCCTTGCTCCTTCAAGGACGCTAGCCTAAGTGATCTTTGATCAAACTTTTACCCTTTTTCTTAACGCACCACACAGACGGACTCCTTTCTGATGCGACGTCATTAACTTGTATTGACATAACACGAAGGTGGTATGATACTAGAGCGAGGCTTATCAGTGGAAAGTACTTTAACCCTCGATTACCTTATCGTAATAATACAACAAGTCCAAGCACGCCTAGGTGTCGCATATTTACACATCCCCTGTGCTCACTTGTATATTAAAATTCTTAGACCACTTATATATGCCCTTGTCGTTTCTCGCGCAAACAAGCCTGTTTACCACGGCCGGCTTTACTATTTGCGCTAACCTCTTGCTAAAGACCATTACATACATGTACTATTTACCACGTCAACACAGACCAAGAAAACAGATATTTATGTGAAATCTAGGATCCATCACTGTCTGTGATGGGGGGGGGGGGGGGGGGGGGGGGGAGCGCGTACCTTTCCCGTTTACTGCCCTCTTTTCACGTGCAAACGTGTTTTAAGCGAAGCAAGGTAAATATCCATTTATCCTCCCCCCCCCCAACCCCCTCACCCTCTTTGTGTCGCTGTTAAAGTGTAACCCAAGCCCGTCACATTACACTGGTACTAGAATGGTATTTTAACAACGCATCCACAGATGTGCGGCCCCCACTTTTCTCTATGGTGTCATTTGTGGTAAGAAAAATGAAAACACAATCAAACTCCATTAAACCGGAGATGATAGTTCATGAGGCGGAAATGTAACAAATCAAACCTCTAGGGTATCGTATTACAATGCTTTCATCAGATATTACCGGCTGCTTCATGGCGCACGTGGGCGACGAGGGCATTGTCGCGTGAGGCGCTCCTCTTAAAGTGACAAAATGAAAACGGATAGAAGTCGTCTGCTGATATTTGTCAACAGGACACGAGTTTCATTTTACGGGTATCAAACTGCAACTAAGGAAGAGTGCGGAACTTGCAGTACCCTGAATCCGTTGGTGGTTACTTCCACGTCTACAGTGTTATTAAAAAGACAAATAACCGTAGAACTTTGCCAAAAAGAATTAGCGTCGCCGGTGATTTGTTTGTAGGATATGGTGACCATTTAACCGAAATCTTGACACAAATTCATTCTTTAGGTAAAACTTTCAAAACACTCTCTTGTAGCTAACTTCAGACCTAAGTCAACAGACCTACTTATATTAAAGTAAACATCATTTATTCAATTTGTATGAAGACATAAAAATGATCCCCCCCGCCCCGCCCCCCTCGCCCGTTTCAAGAAAACGAGTCCCCCGTCTCATGAAGTGGAGTCGGTGCATTTCCTCTATTTACTTGCCCCAATCCTGTTATTACACGTTACTTAAAATGTGAGTTTTAACATGCCTTTACAACACACATACAGGATACTTAAAAAGTAATAAAGGAGATTTCATACCACAAAATCCCACGAACGGACCCTGGCAACCAAACCACGAGCGTACTAACTGCCTCATCATCGTTATAAACCCTACCTGGAGTTGCTTGTTCTTTTTAAGGATAACAGTTTTGTTTTCTTTTGTTTAAAGGGTATTTGGACGGATGTTTGGAACTACAAACTGATATCTTATTTCCTTCATTCCTGTCGTCACAAGCTCTACTAGTAGAAGAAATCAAGTGACTGTCTTTGTCTTATTGTGACAATAAATGGTAGAAGGCCTTTTTTACTTCGAGCGGCATGGTACACTTAAGTGATACGAAACGTATCGGTACACGGCAAGTTAATTAATTGACTTATCTGTTAAAACAGCAAAAGGCCAAATTCTGGAAAACTTAATTATTCCCCCCCCCC